CTTTAAATTGAGACAATGTAATGATAGGCAATGAAATTCCCAGCTTTCAAAATGAGGAAATAGATTACAGAATCTTGAAAACAGTTATTAGTACACATGAATGATGGTAGTTGACTTATGATTTTCACAAATGGTTTTTGGCCTATATAAGACCTGGAGAGTCATAGGTTTGGAAACTACAAATGTTAGATACATATATTTTTAGTTAACTATACTACAGGGCTACAGTAACCAAAACAGCATGATACTGGTGTAAAAACAGACACATAGACCAATGAAACAGAATAGAGAGCTCAGAAATAAGGCTGCACACCTAGAACTATCTAATCTTTGACAAAGTAGACAAAAACAAGCAATGGGAACATGACTCCCTATTAAATAAATGGTACTGGGATAACTGGCTAGGTATATGCAGAAGATCGAAAATGGGCCCCTTCATTATGCAATATACAAAAATTAACACAAGACAGATTAAAGATGTAAATGTGAAATCTGAAACCATAAAATCCTGGGAGACAACCTAGGCAATACAATTTAGGACCCAGGAATGGGCAAAGATTTTGTGACAGAGGCCAAACGCAAGTGCAACAAAAGCAAAAACTGATATGGAATCTAATTAAATGTAACAGCTCTGCACAGCAAAAGGAGCTATCAACAGAGTAAACAGACAACTTGCAGAATGGGAGAAATATTTTGCAAAATATATATCTGACAAAGGTCTAATATCTAGCATTTATAAGGAACCTAAATAAGTTAAAAAGAAAAAAACAACCCCATTAAAAAGTGGGCAACAGACGTGAACAGATGCATTTCAAAAGAAGACATGTGTGATCAACAGCATGTGAAGAAAAGGTTAACATCCCTGATCATTAGAGAAATGGAAATGGTCAAGAACACAATCAGACACCATCTCACACCAGTCAGAATGTCTACTATTAAAAGTAGAAAAATAACAGGGGTGGAAAGGTATCAGAGAAAAAGGAATGCTTATACACTGTTGGTGCGAGTGTAAATTAGTTCAATCTTTGTATCAAACAGTGTGACAATTCCTCAAAGACCTAAAAACAGAAATACAATTCAACCCAGCAGTCCCATTACTGGCTATATACCCAAAGGAACATAAAATGTTCTATCATAAAGACACATGCATGCCTATGTTTATTACAGCACTATTCACAATAGCAAAGACATCGAATCAACTCAAATGCCCATCAATGGGAGACTGGATAAAGAAAATGTAGTACCTATACACCATGGAATACTATGCAGCCATAAAAAAGAATAAAATCATATTCCTTGCAGGAACATGGATGGAACTGGAGGCCATTATCTTTAGAAAAATAACATGGAAACAGAAAACCAAATTCTGCATGTTCCTACTTGTAAGAGTTAAATGATGAGAACACATGGACACAAAAAGAGATACAATAGATACTGAGGCCTACAAAAAGGTGCATGTTGGGAGGAAGGAGAGGATTAGAAAAAAATAACTAATGGATACTAGGTTTAATACATGGGTGATTAAATAATATGTACAACAAACCCCTGTCACACAAGTTTACTTATATAATAAACCTGCACATGTACCAGAACTTAAAAAAATGTAAACCTTGAAGATAAAAATAAAGCCAATCAAGGCCATTACAAAATATTGAAATCTTGAAAGCATAACGTTTTCATTTGTGAGAATGAGTACAAATTTCTTAGTTCCAAATTTTGGATGGTTGTGGACTTTGTGTATTAATAATGACAGGTGCAGATAAGATGCTAATAGAACACTCTATTATTATTTCAGTGGAAGAAGGAGGGGCAAGATTTGAATAATCTCAGTTCTGAATATTTTCCTGAGAGGTAAGGAACACTTCCTGGTTGATGACCACCTATGGGTAGTTATGGAACTTACAGTAGATCTTTCCAAGTCTTGACATTTTTATTGTAATACATTCATTTGTTGAATCTCCATTGGTGAGTACTCCAATAATTTCTTTTGGCTGAACTAGAAAAAGGGTAAGTAAATTTATGAGATTTAAGGCTTTTATGGGCTTTGGAAACATAGGAAGGCTTTTTTTTTCTTTCTGATGAGAAAACTGAGTCTCAGAGGGTCTAGGTGGTTCAGATAAGATCACCGAATTAATTAATGTCAGAAACAAAACTAGTCAGATATCTCCTAATAAAAGGTTAATGTATTTTCTAGTATAATATAGTAGGCATTATGGTTTTACCTATCCAAGCTCCTAAGTTTTGTGAAGTTATGCTTTTCCTTAACATCTTCTATCACATTTTTACAGTAGGAACAACTGCAAAAATGCAGCAAAAGGCTCCTCCTGGCTACAGTTGATCGTCTAGGGCCATATAGCTGACTTAAGTCCTGGATATACTTCCTCCACCAAGAATTTGGAATTGAGACCAAAACAATCTAATTTGAATGTTTACTTTTAATGTTTCTGGTGTCCTGAATGGAGAAGATGAAAACCTGAGAACTCTGGACAGCTTCATTCTGTCATGTTGGCAAATAATCAAAAAAAGCTGCACGTGTACCAAGAGAAGAAAGAAGCCACATCATAGAAAGGGAACAGGCAAGACTGGGTTATACTGACATTCAGATTCCTGGTTCCAGTTCACTCCTGAAGTCTGACTGCATCCCTGCCCTCAGGTTCACTTGAATATAATCCCCTGCGGATTCTTAAAGTATATTTATCTTTTCTGCTTAAGTCGTTTTACTTATAGTAAAAAAAGACCAAATAAATACTTTAAGTGCCCTTGCACTGATCAAAATGACATATTTAGTCTCTTATAATGATAGAGAAATAAAAAATAAGACAAAAATCTACACAGAGATCTATGAAACTACACACATTTATGTCATACATCTTTCAACAAAACAATCAATTCGAACATTTATTTGATTACTTTCTTGTGCTTTATTTTTTATACATCTACTACTGATTCTAGTGGAAGTATAAAATATACCACCATTTCATGGCAGAGGCCATGTTAGTGTGCCAACATGGTCTCTGAATTATGGGCTATGCCTCTGTGGATATTGTACTTACCAAGACATACATATTTTATGTATGACATGCTTTTCTTGAAAAATTTACACCATTTGCCAACTAGATGCTAGTGATTTCCTCTGTGACTCTGTCCTTTTGAATATGCATAGCACGCATCTCTGCATCATCCATCCAGCAGTGATCATATTCCTACTCTCATCTGCTATGTCTAACAATTGTAAGACTCCAGAGACATGCACATTATGTTTTTGTTTCAACATTTTTGTGGAGTTTTACTCAAATCTCAATGCTAGCCTCTTTGATGGCTATGAAATTGTATTTTATTCTTTTCCTATGGTTGAAAATCAAATCACCCCAAATTATTTAAATGGATATTTTAACCTTCATAGACTTCTCCATTAAGGTCTAGCAAGATTTTTTATTGTCCTTGGTCAAGAACTCTGATGTAATAAATTCTTTTTTAATGCATTTTTCCTTTTACATAAAATTGAAGTCTCCACAACAACCTGCAGCTATTCACCAAATCAACATTCTTTTACAGTTCTTTATAAAGTCGGCCTTGTCAGCTACATAGCTCACTACAATCTTTGGTCACACTATATCTTGTGGTCACTAAGTTAGAGAATTTTAACTTAATGAAGGTAAAATGGTTTCAACTTTGTGGATGAGATTCTCTGTAATTATAAAAGCTAAGGGAATTTCAACTATAGTTACTCTCTATTTGCTTCCCACAGGTGTGTGGTAACAAATATACACATTAGGATTCTGCCGAGGCATAAGAAGCAAAGGTTTAAAAACTGAATCAGTCACGTTCCTCTAATAGCCTTAAACTAGCCACCAAATTGCCAGAGTTAAATGAGCAAGAAGTCCAAAATATTACTTCTATAATATACCTCTTTTTGGCTGGGGGGCCTATTATGTTATAAAATAAATCAACACTGAACCAAAGAGGGTGGGTGTTATAAATATTCAGAAAGATAGAAACAGGAAAACAATATTTCTTATTCACTGGTGCTGCCACAATCTAAAAGAAAGAAAAATAGGAGAAAATGGAAGAATTGCTAAAAGAAGATGTGGGGCTTTGAAGTTACACTGCTCAGAGCCCCTTCAAGAGAGCCTGCTGTAAGGAACTTGTCTGGCTGACAGCCTCCATTGGCTACATCTTCACCTTCTGTGGAGTACTCAAGACCACACTGCTGAGGCCACACTTCCACTGGGTATCTCTTGGCCATTGGCTGTGCAAAGCTGCAGTAGTAGAGCTGGCTCATTTCTGTCTGTATCTAGGACTCCTCTATAGGATAGCCTTTGCTCAAAAACTCACCAAGACTTTCTAAAAACTGCATTGCAATATGAAGTTCTTCCTATTCAACTGTCTTTTTTTTCTCTCTCTCTCTCTCTCCTGGTGTCTAGTGTTAGGCATTATGCACACATCTGTCTGAAGACTATCTATGCCTTCCTTTATCCTTTACAGGCATTTCCCTCCATACATGGGGTTTGCATGACAAATCCAAACTTGGTATCAACTTCTCATAGGTCCCAAGCTGACCCTGAAACTAAGCTCAAAGAAATAAAAGAAATAAATTTTCCTTTATGAAATATAAATCTTACATTCTGTTTTGGCTTTTTGTCACTTAAAGGTGAGAAAAATCTGTAATTTGAAGAAATGTTGACATCAATGGCAAAATAGATTAAAAAACAAAAAAATGTTTTTGTATCTCTTTCTTTCACTCTTCCTCCCTCTTTCTTTTCCTTCCTCCTTCCGTCTCTCTTTTCCTCCATCCATCTCTTTGTTTCTTTTAAATCAAAACTGAAATTTGGCAAGGCATTTTATTTAAAAATTTTGTCTTTTCTATTGTAGATCTAAAAACTTGCAAACAATTTTTTGTAGTGTTCTTTGTAGTGCCACTCATAATGATAATTGTGGTAGTCTTTGATAGCTATTCTTGGTTTTTTGTGGACACACACAGATTTAAGAAGAAAGATTGCATACTTATCTGGCAGGGGAGATACCATGATCATGAAGGTGGTTTTCCCAGGGCGAGGCTTATCCATTGCACTCTGAATGTACTGACCCCTGTGATTTATCCAAATGTGGGAAACTCGATTTCATAATTTGTGGAGGTGGGGGATTGCATTCATAATTCTCCTGATTGTTCGTTAAAAAATAAAAAAAAAAGAAGAAGAAAGATTGCTATTACCAATGTAATTTAAGCAAACTCATTATTGCTTAATGACTAGCTTGCATACATTACTAAAGACATATTTAGGAAGATTTCACTGGTGAATTTTTTGGGATAATAGTATAAGGAAACAAAAATCTACTCAATTTAGTATGTTATGATTTTGTTAATAGGTTAATATGTCAAGAATATGCTATACACATATGCTTCATATAGATAAGATCAAATTTGGAGTAGCAAATGCCTGCTAAAGTGCATTGTTAAAACTCTCTCTTTTAAATTCACATGTATTACTTTATCTTTTCATTAATGTTTAGAGACAACATACACTAATCATTATTAGAATACCCACAATAAGCTTTAACAATATTTGGCTTATGACACGTAGGTAAAGAAAGTTTTATTCTTCACTATCTCACTCTTATGATTAGATTATGGACTATAACCAGAGCACCACAAAGACAAAATAATTACATGTAAGAACAAATACATGGAATACAGAAGCAAAATATTTATTAGTGTAATTGTACTTGTATTCTCACAGAAAAAAGCATTAGTTAAAGTGCAGAAATAATATAAAAGAAGAACAGTTGGTAAAACTTTAAGATTGCTTTTAATTTTGATTTTAGCTTGTTTTGCTTTAATAAAAAGGTATTAAATGTTAATAACCAACATCTTATTTGTTCACTTTAATTTCAATATCAAGATCACTGTATTCCTATCAATATTTCCATTCTGATCTTTCACTATTTTCCAACAGTGATTCAAGTGTGACTGATCCATTTGCCATTCCCTGAAACCACTTTTTCTTTCCTATCTCTATATTTTGTTTATAGCTTGTCTTCCATCGAGAGACCTGTGACACCTATTGAAATCCACCCACCTACCTTTCCTGTCCAGAGCTACCCAAGCTGCTTCGGATTCTCACAGATAAAATATATTACCCTTCACTGCTAATATTAACTCTTTTGTTCAGGAAATGTGTGCCCTCCTAAATTTAAAACTCTTTGGACGTAACTGTAATTTCCTTTAATAACTGCTATCTCTTTTTTAATGATTGCTTCTTATCTATCATGTCTTTCCAGTTCTTGAACTTATTTTGTTTCTATTTTGTAGCACCAACTTAAGCAAATCTTTCATAGAAGGCCCAAACATAGCACAGTCCCAGCATCCTTAAAGATCTAAAAATGTATTTATTTTTCCCTATATTTAAAGGAGAATTTGCTGGAATAATGAACTCTGAAGTCTTCTTTACCTTTCTTTTGAGATTTTGAAAACATACTTCATTTTCTTCTTGTATCTACTATTAAAGATAAGATGTCTGAAGTCCACCTGTTTTTTTAACGTCTTTATAGATAAGTTGTAGAAGATTTTAAGGGTTGCAATACTTTTCCAGGGTCTGTATAAGTGCTGGTTGTTTTTTAGTTATTTTGCTCAATCCAAAGAGTTCCTTTCAGTCTGAAGAAGCATCCTTTTATTCAAGTCAAGGAGAGCTTCTTCTTTCATTTTCCTCTTATTTTTTTAATCAATTTCCACCGATAATCTCTTTGTAGGAAGAAATGTCAAGTCCTTTTATTTCCTAAAAATTTTGGAGCAACTTCTTGACTCACCTTTGGGTTATTCATTTGGCCTATCATTATTTAAATCTAATATCCAGTCCTTTTGTTGATTAAAAATCCCTTTTGATAGTTCTCAAACTTTTTGTTGTTTTCCGATTGCTCCTTTTTATAGAAGCTTGATTTTGTTTTCGGATGCAGCATCCTCTATAATCCTTCTGAGGACATCCATCAGAATTTTTTTTTCTTTTGTTCCCTAAATTATCTGTTCTCTTCCTTGTCATTTGTTCTGATTAAGCCTTCTATTTCATGCTGTTAATTTTCCTAAATTGTGCTGATCTTTGATTTCCCAGACATACATTGAGGTGGCCAGCAAAGATTTTCTCAGCAGTTGTGTCATCTTTCTCTCACAAAAGCATCCTTCTTAGTGGGAGGGCTGATAAAGCTGAATGATTTTTTTTATCTCCGGAGCTTCATCTTTCTTCATCAAAAATCCTGTCAAACTTTGCCTGGGCACATCCCAGGATGGGTCTAACTAGTCCCTGTATGACCCTGTCTCTAAGTGCATATATTTTGTCTCTTTGCAAAATCGTATGCAAAAAAACTCTTAGCTACTCAATAAACTCCCACTATGTTATTTTCTTTCCTTTTTGTTCTCATAAGAATATAAACACAATAATTTTCCCCTTCCTAATTTTCTCTATTTCTTTCCAAGGCCTTGGTGACCTTACTTATTTCATTGAATTCATTGCCTTTCTACATTACATTTCTATGAAGTAACCTGTTTTCTTCTCCTTTTGAATAATTAAATTTCATCTGGAACTTCTAATCAATTCTGATCACTCTACATTCTTTGTAACTTGCTCTCTTGTCTTTCTGTTGCTCATCATGTGGATGACTCAAATATCTGTCAGTGGTCAATGATCTGGGAGGAGATCTGGGAGGTACAGTTGAATGGTGTCCTTTGTCTAGAGATAGCCCATTTACCTGAAATGGGAGACTCACTGAGCAGTGTACCTGCTGGGCTATTTCTTTGACTAGAGAAGAATGTGTTCTCATTGCTTTTCTCTGCCTCAAACTTTTTCTTCGTGTTTTCAACAACTACTTCTCTTTTTCCAGGCTGCATCCATTACAATCCCTTTCTCTTTGAGATCTTTGGATCTCCAAATGGGAGTCATCTGCCTTTTTCCGCTGCTGTGTAAAGGGAGGCAGCAGAAATATATAGGAGAGGAAAACGCAAATCAGGGTAGACAGGAGGACTTTGTGACTCTGGATAAGAGAGACAATATTTTGCAAATATTAAATCTTTCATTTTGTTTTGCCCTCAAAATATGTTCTTTTGAAGCCTTCTGAATTCAAGTCCTAATTCCATAGTGTATTACACAGGAAGAAATAGAAAGGTAAATTCTAGAAAAAAGAAGCTCCTTGTCACGATTGAATCCTGAGGCACAATTTCTTCACATCTTTAGCATGACAATGATTATTTCCCAGACATGGGAAAAAATACTTATATGCTAGAAATACTTATAAAGAACTATGTTTTAAATTACTTTAGATGCTATCATATTGATATTTGAGATCTCTCTTACTCTACAGCAGCGATCTCAGGAGGTTCAGATAATTTCAGTGTTAATTCAATAACCTTCTTAATCTCTCTTTTATCACATGGTTACATAAACTCCTACTCCACATGCATTGAGGCCCTCTAGGGAGGAGCAGGAGAGTGCCATACTTGGGACACATATGAGCACATCCCTGAGATACTCAAGCAGAGGATGAACAACCTGAAAAGACTATTTGAATTACGATATATACAATTATTTATTTATACATTTAATTATCTATATTTATTATTGGTAAATATTCTTTACATATATTTTTATTTACTGAGAACCTACTATGTACTCAGTAAATATATTAGAAATAGAGTGACAAAACAGAATAATGAATCCCCATTCTAATGGAGCTTTTATTCTATGGAAGTGATTAGATCACACTAAGTTCACCTAGACTGGACCAAACATATTTTCTGAACACTGTGACTTTTTTTTCTATTATAAGGTCTTTGGTAGTCCCCTGGCCCTCTTAGTACCTTTGCATCTTCTTTGTAGAGCACAGGAGGAATTTAGAATCCTTTATATGTGAGGTAACACAAAGGATCATATTGTCAAATCCAACTGACACAAAAGTCAGATATATTACCCAGTGTCTAACTTTCCTAAACAATGTCAAAAATACAACTAATCTCAGGACCAGAGGAAGAAGGGAAATGTCTGGATACACCAGGTCCCAGGTTCCAGGTGCTTCCTCCACACATCAGTCATGCTCTATGACCAAGAAAATTACATGAGATCTTTAATAAAGTGCACAAGGCTGCCTTACAAACAGGGAACATCTCAGTTATTTAATATTCTCATTTCTACTTACATAGTTGCATAGCTCACATGACATATTTGGAGTTATGCTTCATGAATCCATAGATTCCATACTTGTTTACCATTAAGCAACCCAAAACCAGGAATATCCTGTTAACAGAAATGCGTAGGTAAAATTCTCTTCCTCGTAAATATTATTTTCCAGGAGGTTTGTTATTAGTATTTTTATCAGAAGATCAGAACAGATTACCTGCTTTTTCTTCCCCAGGAGTATCCTGGTCTCCCTTTCTATAGGATTAACAGGGATTACAGGGCGTTGTTTAATGCCATGCTTTCCAAAATGCAACAAGTTCTGAAGAACCAAGACAACAGCCTTAGGCTCATCTGTTTATCCACTTTTCTCTGCCATGTTCAGGTACATACTAATAGGGCATTTTGATATGGCAGAACTGAAGGGGGAGTATTTCCTAAGGACCCGCAGCTTTCTGACAGTGTGCTCCCTGGATAAATTTGGAGGTCTCTATGGCACCCAACCTGAGCTGTGGACCAGGTGGGAGAATAAGGGAAGATGAGGACTCTGACTCTGATACCCTTGCTCCTTCTTACTGTCCCATTTAATTCTCGATAATCTACCCGAACATGAATGACTGGATTTTCTTTCGTTCTTCTCATCCTTTATATAAAAGTTGATGTTCTAGTATGTTCTTAATACCTTAAAAGTGAGCCAAAGGGATTTAGAATTTTAAAAATTTCATGACAAAATACAGTTTTCATGTCTTCTTTAAAGGAATAAAGAAAGCTAGTCCTGAACTGAAAGTTAACATGAGGTCCCTCTGTTTTAAGCAAAGGTATTTATTTTCCATGTGTATTGGAAAGTCTAGAAATTGATGACTGTTGAAGCTGGTTCAGTATCTCAAGACTGTCAGGGTTAGCATTTCTGAACTTTAGTCTTGTCCTCCTTTCTTTCTCCTCAATGTCTATTGAGTGATGCTTCACCTCCAGGCAGCACATCTGTCCTCAAAGCAGAAAGAAAGAGAA